GCTGTCAGCACAGAGCCCGATATGGGGCTCAAACCCACGAACCGGGAGATCATGACCTGAGACCCAGTCGGTCACCTAACCAACTGAGCCACCCAGGCACCCCAATAATATTAAATGTTTTAAATTTTATTATATGCTTTTGAGTGTGAAGTACAAGTAGAAAAAAAATGTTTTAATGTGTAAACTGGACTGACTTCATATGTAGCCTGCTACCACTCTGATAACATGACTGTGGTGCTCTCCCACACAGGTTTTCCTGGACAGAGACCTCACCAAGCAATCCACGATTAATTTGGTGGATTTAGCAGGAAGTGAAAGGCAGAAATCTTCAGGATCTGAAGGAGACAGACTGAGGGAAGGATCACAAGTTAACTTAAGTTTAACCAATTTAGGAAATGTTATCAGGTAAATAACCTGTGCATGGGTATTTATTTCTATCGTAAAAATGACCTCAGATATCAAAAATTAATCATAACCCTTGATTCATGACCCACTGTCATCGTTGGTTCATACCTGGTCCTCCTATTTCTTTTAAATAAATTGCTTTTTTTGGGGGGGGCGCCTGGGTGGCGCAGTCGGTTAAGCGTCCGACTTCATCCAGGTCACGATCTCGCGGTCCATGAGTTCGAGCCCCGCGTCGGGCTCTGGGCTGATGGCTCAGAGCCTGGAGCCTGTTTCCGATTCTGTGTCTCCCTCTCTCTCTGCCCCTCCCCCGTTCATGCTCTGTCTCTCTCTGTCCCACAAATAAATAAAAACGTTGAAAAAAAAATTTAAAATAAATAAATTGCTTTTTAATAAAATTAAAAACACTAATAAAGCCACCACCCAACCCAAGAAATCGTTGGTATTTCTCTACTGTGCTCCCCTTGGAGGTAACCGCCATCTTGAATTTTGTTTACCCCTCTCTGTCCCTCCCTCCCTTTCTTCTTTCATCCTTTCTTGTTTTTATCACATGTGAATATTATTAGTTAGTGGCACTCATTTTTGAAATGTTTAAAAAGGGTATAAAATATTACATTGTTTTCTCGATCCTGTTCTTAAGTGATTAAAATATAAACTACAAAAAGTGTGCAAATCTTAAATGTTCAGGTCAATGAATTTTTATACGTATATATCTGTGTAATTATCACCCAGCTCAAGATATAGAACATTTCCAAAACCCAGAAACCTCCCTTGTACTTCCCTCCTAGCTTTCACTTCCACCAGAAGAAATTGACCTTTGCCACTACAAATTGACCTTTGCCTAACTATATAGATTTTCATATAGATGTGACCATTTATAAGAGGCCATTGTTTTTTGCATTTGGCTTCATTCACTAAGGACTGTGTCTAGGAGACTAGGCCATGTTTCTCATGTAGCAATTATTAGTTCTTTTTCATTGCTATGTAGCATTCCATTGTAGGAATGTGCCACAATCATTTATCCATTCTCCTATTGATGGACATTTCATTTGCATCCAGGTTTTGAGTATTCTAAATAAGGTTGCTATGAACATTCTTGTATGTGTGCTTTGGGGAAAATAATTTCTCATTCTTCTCAAGTACACACCCAGGAGTAGAATTGTCGGGATTGGCTTTTAGATGCAACATTATTAACAGTATGTGTCCATGCTATCTGTGGCTATAGTTAATTTACCTTCTGTTCTGTCACTAGACATTGTGCCTATGAGATTCCTTTTTGTAGTAGAAGTTGTTCTTTTTCCTTATGATGTAGTATTCCATGGTGGGAACATGCCACAACTTCTTCATTGGTTCTCCTGTTGATTGGCATTTTGGTTGTTCCAAGGTTTTGGTTTTTTTGCTATTACAAATGGCGCTATTATGAACATTCTTGTACAAATCACAGGGTATCAATATATTAAAGTTTCTTTTGAGTATAGAAAAAGGACTAAAATTGTTGGATTATATATAAGTTGTGTGCAATAATAAATTTTGAGGGTGGTGACAAGTTATTTTCCAAAATGGTGGGGCCAATTTACATTCCCAGCAGCAATGGATAAAATATCCCATTGATCCACATCTTTTCTAAGGCTTGGTATTATCACACTTCTTGATATTTACTAATTAAATGGGTATGAAGATACCTTACCGTGGTCTTGATACTCTTGGTTTTTAGCAAGTTTGAGCATCATGTGATACGTTTACTGGCAATATGTCTCCTCTCAAAACGTTCTGTTTTTCCCATTATTCTATCCAGTTACTGTCTTTTTATTGATTCATAGGCATTCTTTACATATTTTTATTACTCTTTTCTCAGGCATATAAGCACCTTCACCCAGCACATAGCATGTCTTTTCAATGTAAGGTGTCTATTGATGAGTAGAAATCATGGTAGTGTTTTTTGTTTAGCATTTCCTGAGTCTTGTTTAAGAAAAGTAGCGTCTGAAAGCCATCTCCCTAAATTTCATTTAATTTCCTATCCATCTGGACTTGATTTGTGTGTGTAGTATAAGGTAGGCGTCCTTTTCATTATTTTTACCTTATAGATTACCAATTTTTCCAGTTACACTGTTGAATAGTTCCTCCTCTCCTCAGGGGATCTTTTATCACTGTCATAGACCAAAAGTGAATATACGCTTAACCGTTACTTGCCTTTTTAATCTGTTTGATTGGCCAAAGTCTGAACAATAGTGAATGCGTTATCCTCTTCCTGAATACTACAAGGATCTCCATCCTCCATATGTAATTTTGATATGTATTTTAATTCTATTCTTCTTTAACCCCAAAATACATGATTATTTCTGTTTGACAGTGTTCGTTTTTTAAATTCTTCACTTTTCCCTCTCGAAATCCTCTTTCTTCATTAGTGCTATTGATATACTAGATTTCTTTCTGTCTCTGAATTCATTTTTTTATTAATTTTATTCATTTATTTTTAAATTTACATCCAAGTTAGCATATAGTGCAATAATGACTTCAGAAGTAGATTCCAGTGATTCATATCCTATGTATAACACCCAGTGCTCATCCCAACAAGGGTTTTCCTTAATGACCCTTACCCATTCAGCCCATTCCCCCTCCCACAACCCCTCCAGCAACCCTCAGTTTGTTCTCTGTATTTAAGAGTCTTTTATGTTTTGTCCCCATTCTTGTTTTTATATTATTTGCACTTCCCTTCCCTTATGTTCATCTGTTTTGTATCTTAAATTACATATGAGTGAAATCATGTGATATTTGTCTTTCTCTGACTAATTTTGCTTAGTAAAAATACCCTCTAGTTCCATCCATGTAGTTGCAAATCGCAAGAATTCATTCTTTTTGATTGCTGAATAATACTCCACTTTATATATATACCACATCTTCTTTATCCATTCATATGTTGATGGACATTTGGACTCTTTCCATACTTTGGCTATTGTCAATAGTGCTGCTATAAACATTGAAGGATGCATGTGCCCCTTTGAAACAGCACACCTGTATCCCTTGGATGAATACCTAGAAGTGCAATTACTGGGTCACTGGGTAGTTCTATTTTTAACTTTTTGAGGAAGCTTCGTACTGTTTTCCAAAATGGCTTCACCAGTTTGCATTCCCACCAGCAGTGCAAAAGAGATCCTCTTTCTCCACACCTTTGCAACATTGGTTGTTTCCCAAGTTGTTAATTTTAGCCATTCTGACTGGTGTGAGGTGATATCTCACTGTGGTTTTAATTTGTATTTCCCTGATGATGAGTGAGGTTGAACATTTTTTAAGGTGTCTGTTAGCCATCTGGATGTCTTGTTTGGAAAAATGTCTATTCATGTCTTTTCCCATTTCTTCACTGGATTATTTGCTTCTAGAGTATTGAGTTTGATAAATTCTTTATAGATTTTGGATAGTAACCCTTCATCTGATATATCATTTGCAAATATCTTCTCCCATTCTGTTGGTTGCCTTTTAGTATTGCTGATTGTTTCCTTCGCTGTGCAGAAGGTTTTATTTTGATGAGGTCCCAGTAGTTCATTTTTGCTTTTGTTTCCCTTGCCTCCGGAGATGTGTTGAGTAAAAAGTTGCTGCAGGCGAGGTCAAAGAAGTTTTTGCCTGCTTTCTCCTCAAGGATTTTGATGACTTTCTGTCTTATGTTTAGGTCTTTCATCCATTTTGAGTTTGTTTTTGTGTATGGTGTCAGAAAGTGGTCCAGGTTCATTCTTCTGCATGTCCCTGTCCAGTTTTCCCAGCACCATTTGCAAAGAGACTGCCTTTATTCCATTGGATATTCTTTCCTGTTTTGTCAAAGATTAGTTGGTCCTATGTTTGTGGGTCCATTTCTGGGTTCTCTATTCTTTTCCATTGGTCTAAGTGTCTGCTCTTGTGCCAGTACCATAGTGTCTTGATGATGACAGCTTTGCAATACAGCTTGAAGGTCTTGAATTGTGATGCCTCCAGCTTTGGTTTTCTTTTTCAGGATTGCTTTGACTATTCAGGGTCTTTTCTGGTTCCACAAATTTTGGGATTGTTTGTTCTAGCTCTGTGAAAAATGCTGGTGCTATTTTGATAGGGATTGCATTGAAAATGTAGATTGCTTTGGGTAGTATAGACATTAATTTTATTTTTAAAAATTTTGTTAAAGTTTTATTTTTGAGACAGCGAGTGAGAGCGAGCGAGCACACAAGTGGGGGAGGGGCAGAGAGGGAGACACGGAGTCTGAAGCAGGTTCCAGGCTCTGAGCTGTCACACAGAGCCCAACATGGGGCTCAAACTCACGAGCTGTGAGATCATGACCTGAGCTGAAGTCAGACGTTTAACCAACTGAGCCATCCAGGTGCCCCAGGTAGTATCAACATTTTAACAATATTCGTTCTTCTAATTCAGGAGCACAGAATATTTTTCCACTTTTTTGTGTCTTCAATTTCTTTCATAAGCTTCTATGGTTTTCAGTATATAGATTTTACATCTTTGGTTAGGTTTATTCCTAGTTATTTTATGGGTTTTGGTGCAATCATAAATGAGATTGATTCCTTGATTTATCTGTTGCTTCATTATTGGTGTAAGAAATGCAACCGATTTCTGTGCATTGATTTTATATCCTGAGACTTTGCTGAATTCATGGATCAGTTGTAGCAGTGTTTTGGTGGAATCTTTTGGGTTTTCCATATAGAGTATCATGTCGTCTGCAAAGAGTGAAAGTTTGACTTCCTCCTGGCCAATTTGGATGCTTTTTATGCCTTTGTGTTGTCTGATTACTGAGGCTAGGACTTCCAATAGTATCTTGAATAACAGTGGTGAGAGTGGACATACCTGTCGTGTTCCTGACCTTTGGGGGAAAGCTCCCAATTCTTCCCTGTTGAGGATAATATCAGCGGTGGGTCTTTCATATATGGCTTTCATGATCTTGAGGTATGCTCCATCTAGCCCTACTTTATTGAGGTTTTTGTTTTTTTTTTTTATCAAAGCATTTTGTCAAATGCTTTCTCTGCATCTATTGA